TGGCCTCCCATAATGTATGTTAAAAGGACATAGAAAAAGCATAGACTCTGCTAACAGTGCCTGGCAAATTTGGCATTGGATCAGGCAGATTTCCATTGTCAGAAGTGCAAAAAAAAAATGTTTAAGACTAGGAGGATCCCTTTACCGAGTGGAACCGAGCCAGGCGTCTCAGCTCTACGCACAATTTTAGCTCACTGCAAAATTACCACTGCTTACCCTCCTTCTTCCAGCAAGTAATGAGATGGCAGAGGCTGGCGATATGGATTCCAGGTGAAAAAATAAGGAGAAGCAATATATCAGGGCTTCAATCACAACTGTATGAGAAGTGATTTTTCCTTCTTGCCAGACATACCTTTTTTGTACACAGACATTAATGCTCGTGGAACAATGTTTGGTCAGCCTTAATTTTCAGGTTGGATCCCTGCCCGTTTCTCTGGCTGAGCAGCCCAAGGTTTCCTCCTGCTGCTGTGTCCAGCTCTCGGCAGGATTTGCGCATTCGTCGCTGCGTGCAGCCGGGGTGAAGCGCACACAGGGTCTCTAACGCACTGCAGTGGAGCTGAATCGCTCCTGATGCGGCTGGCTCAGCCTCCTCTCTGCCTTCCCTGGCTGGTTCATTAGCATCAAACTGTTCAAAGGGATGGAAATTAAATTATATTTAGGTCAGAAACATATTTTAAGCAAAAATACCTATTATATTTAAAGCATCTTTTTCAGAGACTCTCTGTCTGCTGCTTCCAGGATGGTTGCACAAATACTTACTGTCCTTGATGTGTTTTTTAATGATACAGCAGGCACTTCCAAAATCTGGTTTTTGTTTAAATATAAATTAGGCTCATTCTCTCTCTCAATCCAATTAATGCTGGTAAATAAGAAACCATCTTCTGGCAGCTCATTTAGGTATCCAAAACAGGCAAAAGTCCAGGTTACCCCAGATAACTTTGAAAGAGAGAGAAAATAGCTCTGCCAGAGAGAGTGAGGGGGTTGTAGCACTGCCGCTGCCCTGCTCTCTGCGAGGAGGGAGCAGGCGGGCAGGCAGGCGGCTTTCCAGGAGCACCAGCAGTCAGACATCGCTCCCACACTTTGGGCTGCTACTCCTTTTAGGCACTGGCCTCTCCATGACTCTGTGCAATCACATCTTAAACAGCTTCAAGCATCTGGCTACACCTCCTATCAAGACTGCATGAATGATGATCTCCTTGGACTTTATAAATATTGATCATTATTCTGGAAGCAACTCAGCAGACAGAAGGTACTCTTCAGCCCCAGCTCCCGTGCTCCTAGAGAAGAGGCTGTGTTGACTCACAGTCAATACACTTTCAACTGGAGTGTATCGTGACGCTTAGGGATCCTTGGCTGTCCATGCTTAGATCAATACTCCAAAGTCCCCTGTGAAGAAGCCAGGGACATGGTTACCTTGCCCAGGGCTTCCAGTGGGACAACGCAATACCAGTCCTAGAACAGCCCAGAGCAATTTTTTGCAGCGCTGCATGACACCTCCCTCCTCCAAGGGACAGAGCCCACAGCCTCACTTGTTTACACCAACACATACCAGAGCAGAGGAACAGGGCGGCTGCTGCTGCTGCTTCTCCTCCGCAATCTGCCCAGGAGAGCATCTGGAACAGCCCGCTGGCTTGCCCTGCTGCTGACATGTCCTCCCACCCGCTCATAAACTTTCCATTTCCATGAAGGTTTCATCTTGCATTTGATTCCCAAGACAATTTTCTCTCTCCTCCTATGGGGCCACAGCAGGAGACAGAGACCCAAGCACAGCTGGCTGCTCCCCCGCTGCCCCAGGCCCTGTCAGACTCGTCTGCAGCAAGCCCTAGCACTGCAGGCATCACCGATGCAGGGCTCCTTAGATGTCTCAGGGAGGAGGTGATGCTGTTTTTCTGCCCTTCCTCCAGGGGATCTTCAAGTCCCTCGTCTCTCACAGAGCAACACTCTCTTTAATCTGGGTCTGTTTGAAGGAGGCATTAACACAGGAAAAGAAAAGTTGGATAGAGGAAGCCAATTTTTAGGAGTTTGTTAGAATAGATGAAAACATTCCTCTTTTCCAGCATTGATAGCGATCTTCCCCTCCATCAGCAGCTTCACCGATCTGCTCTGGCCTGCCCTGTGCTGGGCCAGGGGGCACATCACTCTACTGCCGTCTCCCTGACCCGCAATGGGAGTGGGGAGCGAGGCAGCTCTCACCCAGCTGGGAGAGGCACCCAGCGCCTCAGACCTTTGGCGAGGGGAATAGGAGCAGCTTGAGAAACACATTTTTCTTTCCAGCCTGAGCTGCAGTGCCCTTGCCTCAAGCGCACTCATCAGATAAAATGCACTTTAGGCTGAAAGCAGGCACAGAAACTGGTTTGAATGGGGTTAGACAGAACATTCACCCAGGAAGGCTTCAGCGCCTCACGGTGTTATTGGGTTAGCATCAATGCAGCACATGCGCTCCAGCAGCCAGAGGAAATAGCCGGTGCCTTCGTCAGAATTGATGGCTTTATCCTTTGCATTAGCACCAAACTGCTGGTGGTGGCTGCCTTCGCTTGCAGCAGCAGCTGTTCTTCTTCTGGCATGTGTGCAGAGCCCTGCTTCAACTGCAGAAAAAAAAAAAAATAAAAAAGGGCACTATGGATTGTACGTGCTCCTGTTCATTCAAGCAGTGCTTGTCCCGACAGGGCAGTAGCAGTGTATAGTTGTCCTTCAAAAACAGCCCTAACCGGCTGGAACAGAACAGAGCAGCCATCCCTTCTGAGAGCCAGAAGCTGTTAGAAAGGGCAGGAAACACTGATGGCACCTGCTCGGGTAGCTCGACCTCGCCAGCCCTCCCGAGGGCTGCACGTGGTGGACGAGAGACAGAAGGCATGCCCTACCAACCACCCCACCCATTCCCTCGTGTGCAGGACGTGCCTTCCTGAATGACAACAATTACAACCGCCATACAAACCACAATGAAATGTGTTTATTAAGTAAACCCACTACTTTATACATGATTATGCTGGATATAGATGCAGTATCAGTGCTCTTCTAGTAAAGCCCAGTATTTCTTCACTTAAGCTTTAATAAACCTATACTTCGCTTTTGCAGACTAAAAATTCAGTATAAACTACTGGTGAGTTACGAGCATGAGTAGTTGTACTGTATTCAGGATTAGTTCTCAGTTTCTGTCTTTCGCTCCTTGTAAACCTACCTGCTTTTCTCCAGCGTTAACCTTGAATTTAACCAGATTAAACCTAGACAGAATTGGTACAGCACTTTTTTTTCTGTGAGCTGATCACTGGATCTGACTTATCGGTTCCGTGGGTTGATATCTAGAAGCTTGATACCAGATCTTGGAAGTCTGTCTACACAAAAGTACCACTTTAACTAGCAATACGATGTCTGTGAGACCTCCACCATCAGCCTACGCTTCCCTCGAGGAAGGAGGAAAGGAGTGGAAGTGCTGATCAAAAAGGGCCTCCCACAGCACCAGTGTAATGAAACATCCTGCCTGGAAGTGCAGGAGATTACAGGAGGCATTCAAGGAAGCTCTGGTGAGGAGAGACAATATGCAGTGGGATTTCAAATAGTCCTTCCCTCAAAGGAGGGCCTCAGATTGATTTTTTTTCTTGAGTCGAGTAAATCAAAATAAGCAAACAACATTCCCAACTAGGCACATGACAAATTGGAAGATGACGAAGGGGAGAAGTTTCTGTTTATTTATTCCTCTTTAAAATGACTTAAAAGCAAATTTAAAATACTATTTAAAAAAAGAAAGGATTCAGAATATCAAGAAGCTGAAAATAAAACCACAAAGGAGGCATTACAAGGTTAGCAGAACATAGAAAGCATAGTTAGCATAAAACAGATTTACAGTCTCAGTCAGTGAACGGCAAATTCATGCTGCCCATGTAAATGGAACAGCACGTAATACTGCCCCTACCCTCTGGAACACAAAATTCTTTTATCATTTTGTTTTATTGTACTACTGGATAGGAAAACACAACAATTTCAAAACCCAACATTTTCAGTTGAAAGAGAACAACAGTAAAAACATGACATTGCTCTGTAGGCACTGATAAATGTTTTTCTATGGTAAAGGAGTGTGCCAAAGCACAATTCAAAATTGCATAATTCCTCTTAAAACGATACAGCCCTGGTGTGACTGCAAATAAAAAACAGCTATGAAATTTCTCTGGCACTGCCTGACTGCAGCCCTGCCCACTACGAACTGTCTGCAACAGTGGAGTTTGGACAGGGCTAGGCAGGAGCAACAGGCAGCAATACTGGAAAATGAAGGTATCTCTTGACAAGTCAGAGCACTCTTACAGCTCAGATCCATGGAGGGCTTTTGTTACGCTGACAAAGAGTGTCTGTGTGTGCTTGCCAAGGCCTTCACTCTGTGTGTTTCAAGTTACACCCGACCTTGAGGTGCTGAGACCTAGTAAGGGGCAAACGGGAGCAAGAAAAGGTTCCTGCCTACAGACCTGCTCAGAAATAGCCACTCTGGTGGCCAGCAGCTGCTGGCAGGAGGTCAGCTGCAAGCCATGCCCAAGCTTGCCATCAGCAGATGACTGCTTCTCTCTCCTCTCCCCTCACCGAGCACAGGCAGCTGTAACATTACTTACACGCTCCTCTGCAGAGCACTCTGATCAGACTATGGAGCCCTTACGTCCTCTGAGGGGAGGGACGTGGACTTTGCTAGGATCTGCAACAAACATCAGCCCAAAGCAACTGGGGGGAGGCAGCTGCTGGGGCCTTGGAGAGGATTAAAGAAGTGCCTGTGCAGGGCACCCTGAAGCAGATTTTTACCTTGCAAGCATCCTCACTTCTGAGACTTGTCCTCCCCCTGTTTTGGCACATGCAGCCTTCCTGCTCCCCCTCTCTGGTGGGCAAGGTGCCTGAGATTAGCAGCCCGGAGCCCCAGCGTCCCTGCACGCAGGGGAGGAAAGATGCAGTTCAGTCTTCTGTTTTACTAGGGAGTCTCTGGCTTAAAAAGTCACTTTTTAAAAAAATGCCATAGCAGGAAGCAGTTAATCAAACATATCCTCAAACATGCGTCGCCCCATGGCTATGTAAACCTCTTTTTCTTCCGGCGTCATCTGGGCCACCAGCTCAGGGCGCTGGCTCACTTGGCTGTAAGAGTGCGGACGTCCAGCCACTGTGACAGTGGGGTCCTCTGCCACCACCTCAAACTCTTCATCCTCCTCCTCATCCTCCAGCCCATATGTTGTGGTGGCTGTGGCAGGAGGGCAAGGAGGGGATTCTTCCTCCGACTCGCTTGTCTCGCTCTCGGAGGCACTTGCATTGGCTCCGGAGAGAGGAGCGGCACCTCCGACAGTGACTGTTGAGGCAGAAGGTGTCTTCTTCTCATGGATAAGCAGAGCACGCATCACCTCCTCATTATCATCCAGGGCTGCCCGGCCTTCCTCACGCTCCTGGAAGGCATCCAGATCCCGGCCCCCTGTAAAGAGACACAAGGGAATGATCACTTCCTCACAGAGATCTGGGTAATGGCCCTGAAGGTTTTCTGGACCCATATTAATTACTGCCACTGAGCACGCCAGGCCAAGTCACATCCTTTCCCTATGCCAGCTCCTCCTCTCCTTTAAAAGACAGACATAGTTATGTTTTTTTTCCTAACAGCAGAGCAAGTATTGACATTTCCTAGGAGCTGGGAGGCCTGGAGTCACTGTGGCTCCCAGCTCGGAGCTGCAGCCAGGAGCACATCACAAGAGAAGAAAACAAACACATGATGGGCAGGCACCTGGGAAAGAACCCCCCCCCTCGCCGGGAAGGTGTCCAATTCGGGTGCCCCTCAGCTGGGCTGATGCACCTTCCTTGCTGTGGAACAGAAAGCGGTCCTTGGGACCTAAATCTGGGCTTCCAGATACTCAGAGTATGCACCTAATAATGACACTTGTCAGAGATAGAGCAAGTATCTTGGTGCTGTTTCACAGGTGAACAAGCACAGGCTGTTTCCTTTTTGTCCCTTTGTTTCCAGGTTGTATGACCTCAGCCTGGAGGACCTGTGGTCATGACCAAGACCACCAGGTGTTGCCAGCACAGACCATAAATACAGACCCAAATATCAAGCCCTGCCCTGCTGAGCTCCCTATCTATAAAGATTAAGACAGGGAAGCAGATGAATCGAGGCAGAGAGGGAGTACGCAGAAACCACGTGTTATAAAACAACATTCAAAGTAGCCATGTCTGGTAAGCTCAGAAGAGCACCTATCAGGCAGGAAGGGGAAAAGCTCATTACAGGAACATGGTGGTGGTATCAAGTTGGATCCATCTCATGAAGCAGATGCAGCTTGCAGACAAGCTGCGCAGCACAGCGTGGAATGCTGCATTAAAACAGCTCCTGCTCTCCAAGCTGAAACGCAGCCCAGCCAGTCTCTGGCTCCCTACCTGGACCTCTTATTTGAAGGGGACTGGGGACTGCAGTTTCCCAGCTGACAGATGCATGGCCTGTGCTCCTCTTTCAGTAAGCTTGGCTGTACAATAGCTGGGAGGGTTTGCAATGGCTTGGGTAGGCAGGGTGTCTGCAGTTCCTGGATTCAAAAGGTAAAATTCTTTCAAAAAGTGGCATTCTGCAGAAAACCTGTCCTAATCCTACATTTGATGAGAAAACTGAGTCCACCCAGCACCAATAAAACTACAGGCAGTATAGAAAAAAAAGAAAAAAAACAAACTAGAACAAAAAATGAAACTGAGAACTTTATGTAAAAACAAGGCCTAAAAAGTAGGACAGACTCCCTGTGGCAAACTTTGTCTTCCACCAAAAGATGTTGCCTATGAACAAGATGGAGCTGAGGTGATGGCATTCTGCCTTCATACATTAACGCCACTTGCTTGCTTCTCCAAGACATGGACCCTCATGGTTTCAGCACCACATCCAGGCAGTTGGCACCCAAGCCTTTCCCCCTGGGGTCAAAAATGCACTGGTTACTTTTTTCAACTTGAGATGAAAAAATGCTGTGAAACAGGTAAACTAACAAAGTATGTTCTGCATTTAGCACTAAAAGCCAAGGGAGTTTATAGTCACTCCTTTCCTGTGGTAAAATAAAGGCCAAAAGACCCACCCCTAACTTCACTGGACTGGCGTTTCCACTGTAAATAAAGTTGTAGTAACAGGTGATGGCTACACCTACTAAGATTAGTGCACTGGCAAAATTCTTGAAAGAAAGGAAGAATAAAAGCGTTGTGTTGGCAGCCTTGTGCTCAGCTTGTTGCTCGTGACTGTAGAGCATAGGAGGATATTGGAGAGCATCTCTGTGAAATAATATCGTACCTCATCACATTGAGAGCTATGATGCCACAACAGCCTAGGGTACCTGCACAAAGTCTGACTTTGAGGCTCAGAAGCGGGGCTGTCCCTTGCTTGTGAGAACTGTTCCTGCCAGATCCAAGCAATTAATGTTTTCTGTCAACAGTCCCAAGTTTCTGTCCTCCATGTTTGTCATCCAGGAGCTAAAGAAATGTGTTGCAGCAGCAATTTCAGGCTATTTCCACAAGTCCCCCCTTCGATTTTCAGTAGTGGTGGACATTAAGCTGTGATGCCATCGTTCTGTAAGGAGATATATTCCCCCTCCATGTCCTTCAGTGGCATCTGAGAAACATTTGTGCTGTGTACACCAAAAGTCATCTCAAGGAGTCAATTTAAAACTACAGGTGAACTGAATGCCTAGCAGAAAAATGGGGTGAGAACTCAACATGGCTGGTGAGGAACAGGAACATGTGCTACAGACTGCAGGAGGAGGTTGTTTCAATCACCTTCACTTTACTTAATCTCTTTGGAAAATGTTTTGGGATCCATATGCTTGAGAGATGTTACATGTGGACAAGATCATTAGATATCACCATTTTCTTCACTTCTGCGATACCTTGGGGATGAGTGGCTGGAAAGCTGCC